GCTGTGCATGGGCAACATGGGCAGCGCATGGACAGCATGGGCAACATGGGCAGTGCATGGGCAACATGGGCAGTGCATAGACAACATGGGCAGTGCATGGGCAGTGCAACTGTAGTAATGATGACCACTACGACTTCACTGCCGTCGTGGTATGTGGCCCTGTCGACTCACTCTCCCACACGTCCACACCCTCCCCTCTCCACCTCCACCCCCCAACCCACCACCACCACCACCCCACCCACCATCACCCCACCCACCACCACCCCCCTCCCCACCTCCACCCCCCAACCCACAACCACCGCCGCCGCCGCCTCCTCTTGCAGACACTGCCAGCAAACTCCCTGCACAGTGCACATAGGGCGTGGGGTAGGCGGACAGAGCCTTCAGTCAAGACACTGAAGCATGGGAGGAGGAGGAGGAGGTGGAGCTGTGGGTTCGGCTTGTGGTGAATGAGTAGAGCTGAGCGAGCAGAGGAGACGGCTCAAGTGGTGGGGGGGGGGGGAATGGAATAAGAAAGTACCAAGGGCGCAGCTACGCGCAGTGACGGGATAGATGTCAGAACCGCTCGTGGAAGAAAATAAAAAAATTCCCTTTGTCTCGAGCAGTGGTTCTTCACGTTGTGGAACCTGTGGAGCACTGCCACTCACTGCCACCCTTGGCGCATGATGGAGTCATCATCATCAGCAGCTGCAGAGCCCAACTCTCTTCTCTCCACCTTCACTGGAACAAACTCCCCCCCCCCCTCCTTCCACATGGAGCGGCCACCTCGCTCACTAAAGTTCCTCACTCAAAAGTCACTTCTTGTTACCCAGAGCTCACCCCCACGACACCCTCCACCCCACCGCCCGCCCTTAATCTCCCCCTCGTAACCACCACCGTTACTGCTCCTTCTTCGTATTCTCACGACACGGCCATCACTCATTGAGCCCATGCATGCATTCACTCATTATAACCCCATTCATTCATGCAATCGTCATTTACTCTTAGCAATTTCGCTTCCACCGAATTCACGCACCATCACAGATCCTCGCCCCCGCATCGCTTCCTCTCACCGATGTCACTCACCTCACCACCACCACCACGTCGCTAATTCTTTGTAAAGCGCCTCCGCTAAAACTTAATTTGGAGCTTTCGTGACTGCAGGAATTATTCTTTGGTTCTTTCGGTAAAGTCACGTATCAAGATAAAATAATAGCATTTAATTTAATTTATTATTTTATCTTTATACGTGACTTTACCGCCTCCGCTAAGTTCTCCAATGCCAATGCCGAAGCTGGCCACGAGAGAGGGGGGGGGGGTCAGGAGAGAGCCACGCGCGTCGCTTGGGCTCCCCTCCCTCTCCCTTTCTCCCTCCCTCCCTTCCCCCTACCTCCCTTCCTCCCCCCGTCCACAACCGAAGCAGCGCAGACCACAGCCGCCGTCATCTGCAATATTTTGCTGTCTTTTCTTGGAATTTCTGTTTGCGCATAGTCACTTTAAGATGTTTTCTTGTTCATGTTTTTGTTTGTTGCGGTTGCACCCGATTCAAGAGCCGAATGGCTCACAGGGCTATACCAAATACATGAACTTCAACTAAACCGTGACCTCTCTCTCGACGCGGCTGCCGTGGCCCGCCAATCACGTGGGGTGGTTTGGGGGGGGTGGGGTGGGTTGCCAAACGCGTGGCCAGCGATGGCCCAGCGATGGCCCAGCAATGGCCCAGCCATGGCCCAGTGATGGCCCAGTGATGGCCCAGCGATGGCCCAGTGATGGCCCAGCCATGGCCCAGCGATGGCCCAGTGATGGCCCAGTGATAGCCCAGCCATGGCCCAGTGATGGCCCAGCGATGGCGCAGCGATGGCCCAGTGATGGCCCAGCGATGGCCCAGTGATAGCCCAGCCATGGCCCAGTGATGGCCCAGCGATGGCCCAGTGATGGCCCAGTGATGGCCCAGCCATGGCCAAGCCATGGCCCAGCCATGGCCCAGCCATGGCCCAGTGATGGCCCAGCCATGGCCCAGCCATGGCCCAGTGATGGC